TATGCATCAATATATATATATATATATATAATATATATATATATAAATGATAAACATACTTGCACATTTGATGAGAATAAACTAATAAATATTTTGAGTTTTCAAGTTAAATTTTCGTTTGTATTAAAATAATATTTAATTAATAAAAATCATATTTTATAAAATAAATTAGTCTTTAATTATAGTGTCAATTTTAAAATATTGTATCAACCATGTAAAAAAAATATCTTTTTACTACCATTTTGACAACAAAGGCATCTATCATGAATTTCCTCACATTAATTTCATCACTTTTTTTAAATGGTGTAAATGATTTGACTAGATGGTCTCCATCACCAATTCTTAAAATGATAAATGAATAAGATCGCCTTTTATAAAGCATAAATTGTTAGAGTACCTTTTTAATACAAGTTTGTTAAGTGTAGGTGCTTAAAGTATTCAAAATAAAATTTAAAAATAATTATAAAAAAATAACTATTTTGAAATTTATGTGCATATATTTTTACAATATAAATAAAATCTAAGGATGTAAAGTTATATAATGGGCTGTTGGAAAGAAAATGGTGACATTAGTATATTTATAAGGAATTTGTCTATTTAGTAATGAGTACTTAGAAAATCCTCAAAGTAAAAACATTTTTTTTCTTTACTTAAGAGTTCGTTTAAGGTGATGTTCAATTTCAATTTTATAATTTTTTAAAAATTATAACCAATTTTTTTAAGTCTTATATCTTATTAAAATTAAAATTTATTTAACAGCATATTTATTTGATGATAATAATGACAATATCAAAAAATAATGCTGGTGATGATGATAATAATGATAAAAAATAATCACAATATTTATTAAAAATAATTATAATTAAAATAATTATATTAAATATAGTACTTATTCTTTAAAATTAAAATTTTGATTTTTTTATTATAAAAAATTTAGTTTTAAAAGAGAATATAAAATCAAGTTAAGCATAATTTTAGCCTAACACATTTCGTTTTAAAAATTATATTTAAAATCTAAAAACTAAGACCTTGTATATGTGCTAAATATGCTCTCATTTTTCCTATGTTTTTAAAAAATAACTTGTTCTTTCAAAAGATTTAATGAATGAAAAAAAGGTATTTAAAATTTGAATATTGTATTTGTAGAGATAATTATTTTTAATATTCGTATTTTTAACTCTTGGTCACTAAGCAGCAACCTTACCGTTGCGCCAAGGCTCACCCTCCCTCCAAGTCCTGTATATAAGAAACAAATAACCCATTCATCAAAAAACAATAAGATTAGTTAAGGTGGTTAATTTTTATTAATTATGTCATGAAATTAAATTTTATTCCAAAAACACCCTTAGAATTGGATGATTTATAGAATGGTTACATTTATCGGCACTACATCTAATTCAAGGGATAACTTTTTTCTCCAATAAGTATAATTTCTATGGTTAATAGATCAATAAATGCTTCAACTTGCATGAGGGTAAAAAGGAAGTTGGTAATTGTTACACTGTAAAATGGGTCTTTGTTTCTTATAATTAATAATTAGGAGCAAAAAAGAATATCTATTTTTTTTTATTTATATATATAGGACCAGAGAGAGTATTACTGTTGTACATAGTGTGATTTTTTTCGTTGTTTGTACTTCGACAGGTTTGGCAAATCCGGCACCAATAATTCAGACCTTTTATGCAGAGGAAAATATTTTTAATGAAGTCAAATTGGATGGTGTTGTTACTTTGGTCGATGCGAAGCATGCTGGCTTTCATCTTGACGAGGTTAAGCCAAAAGGTGTGGTCAATGAGGCAGTGGAACAGATTGCGTATGCAGATCGAATAATTGTAAATAAGGTATTGTTGACTAATTTGTTCTTATTTCTGAATGGATTTAGTTGTGTGATAATTAAACATTTGGATTATTTAGAAAAGGGCCAATCATTTTTATTTAGTTTTATCGTAGTATGGTTGACCTTTTTTTGGGTAGATTTTATGTGACATTGTTCTGTAATTCTATTACATTCCAGGTTAGGAAATAGGAAATGAAATGGATATTCTCTTTATGTCTGAAATAGTCGGTTAATATTCTTGTCTATCTTGAACCAGACTGACCTTGTTGGTGAATCGGACATTGCTTCTTTGGTCCAGCGGATAAAGGTTGGTGTCTTTCTCTTCCAGTTGTATCTTGGAGTCTAGTTTGTATTTTAATTTTATTTCATTATTGTGCCCCATATGAACTTGGCTGTGTTTCTAATTCAGAATATAAACGGCTTGGCCCACTTAAAGCGGACAGAGTATGGAAAAGTTAACTTGGATTATGTTCTTGGCATTGGGGGCTTTGATTTGGAGAGGTAGTTTTTTGTTATTGTTTCCTATTTCCTGTATTTGAATTGTTTAAGAAAAAGGAATCTGAATTTGGCTTACTTGTTCTCTGCACAAGGAGGTTCTTGTTAATCACAGGGTTCCTGCGTGACTGTCCCCCTTTCATATATAATATCTGTCTTTTTTATACTGAAATAATTCTCATTTTTGTTGTTGACCATTCATATTGAAATTATTTTCATTTATCTCCTATTCATATACATGTATCTTTAAGAACTGTTGGTGTTAATTCTTGTCCTGAATTGCAACAACGCTCTTAGTAGTCCTCACTTTCCTCCAACTTTGTCATATTTCTTGCTTCAGTGCTATGTATTCCATAACCTTACCTGGATATTTCGACTTCTTTGCTTCAATACTATCATTACCTTTCTGTTGCCTAAACCTTCAGATATGATTTGTGTGTTTCCTCTTTATCTTTTACAAGGATTGAGAATGCCATTAATGATGAAGATGCAAAAGAAGATCATGGGCATGACCATAGCCATGACCACGAGCATGAGCACCATGATCATGATCATCACCACCATCACCATGATCATTCCCATGACCACAAGCATGGTACCTATTAATTTGTCTTGATTCAGCTGTTTTACCATCTCGTTCTTGTTTGTAGTACTAGTCACAATGCACTGGTGCCCATGTCTTATGAGTCTTACTCTTACAAATGAGTGTTTAACTTATTTAATTACACATTCTATTTGGATGGCTATAGATGTATATTATTTCCTCTAATTTTAATATTTGGATGGCGATCATTTCTTTCCTTGTTGCTTCTCAATTCACGAGGACAGCTTGTAGAATACTTTTATTTATTGTCTAGTTGGGAATAAAATTCATTTTGTTTTGTGTACAGAACACCATGATCACCACTCTCGTGATCATAGTCACGATCCTGGTGTTTCTTCTGTCAGCATAGTTTGTGAAGGAAGCTTAGATCTTGAGAAGGTTAGACATTGATGTACACTTAATGCTAAGTGAATCAATTTCTCGTTTACATTTGGAATTTTGGGGAATGCCTTCTATTTCAGATGTATATGTAAATGTTGGCATTTTTTGTGTGTACTAAAAGGCTATCTTTTTCAGGCTAACATGTGGCTTGGTACCTTGTTGCTGGATCGTAGTGAAGACATTTATAGAATGAAGGGTCTTTTATCTGTTCAAGGAATGGATGAGAGATTTGTCTTTCAGGTAAATTTAAATATCTTTACCGTGATGGGATTGTGACATGGATGTTGAATGAATTCCTTTAAAATTTGCAAGTCTTTGCTATTTATGTTGTTATTATTATTCGTGGAATGAAAGATAGCTTTTTCTGTAACAGGGAGTTCATGACATATTTCAAGGTTCACCTGAAAGGTTGTGGGGGCCGGATGAACCAAGGATAAACAAAATAGTATTCATAGGGAAAAACTTGGATGCTAAGGAATTGGAAAAGGGATTCAAGGCCTGTTTACTATGATGATACTAACAGGATCAATACAGTGCTATTATTATCTCTCTTTCGGCGGATGATGTATGTTGAAGATGAGTGTGCCATGTAGAACACTGAAATGATTGTTGTTTTAAGAGCTTAATCTTTGTGGAGAAAATTCCACGAGAACATCGAACTTGTACAAATTAGAGGACCTTAATCAAAAGTAATGACAACATGAATCAATTCATGTTAGCTATTATTAATTTTACTTTTGGATGTCATAACAATGAAAGTTCCCATCAATTATTTATCTCTTGTATTTTTAACCTCCATACAGAATGTTAACCATATATATTATAAATAATATAAATTATAAACGACACATTTATTTTTCGTATCCACTTATAATTTCTTAGATGGTGAGTTACATTCTTATTGATAAAAAAAAAAATAGAAGAGAGAATTATTTTAAAATTTGTTTTACGATTGTTCATAACTCAATTTAGTGGCCAATTTTTCCAAAAAACTAACACAAGAACCGCCCACCGTGGGGCTCGAACCCACGACCACAAGGTTAAGAGCCTTGCGCTCTACCGACTGAGCTAGACGGGCACTTATTGTTTTAACAACTTTTAACATATAATTTATACTCTTACTTTATACTTATAGTCCCAACCATTTCAAATGAATTAAACTATATACGGACACTGTAAAATAGTGTATCATTTTGTATTTTGACGATAATTATTTTGATAGATCTCGGAATTCTTTAATACGTTCTGCATGCTTTTTTTTTATAGGCTTAAATATGTTTTTAGTTTCTTAAATTTAAGATAAATTTATTTTTGTCTCTTAAATTTAAAATTATTATTTTTAGTTTTTATAATTTTTAAAAATTTTATTTTAGTCTAAGATAAATTTGTTTTTGTCTCTTAAATTTAAAATTATTATTTTTAGTTTTTATAATTTTTAAAAATTTTATTTTAGTCCTTTAGGTCACCAATAACATATTTGAAAGTGACTAATTAATACAGTTATGCAACATCAACTGGATTTAATATGATATTTTCACTGATAGGGATATTAATAAGTAAATTTTATATAATAATGTTTGATAAATTTTTTAACAAAATTTAAATATAAAGACTAAAATAAGATTTTTTGAAATTACAGAGACTAAAAACAATAATTTTAAATTTAAGGGACAAAAAAAAAATTATCCTAAATTTGAGTTACTGAAAACATATTTAAACATTTTTATATCTTCGCAAGTCTTTAATAATTATTAGTGCCACCAGAAAGTTTACATATTGCATTGTAAACAGTGGGATGAAAAAAATCCAACTTTCATTCCAATCTCTTCTTATTGATTTAGATGGGTTCCAATTTTAAAATTATATCTTATATAACTTTTAAGATAAATTTAAATTACTCTTTATGTTATTCTAAATTCTCCTTCATTCTTTTAGAACATATAAATTTTTAGGATAAATGTGTATTAATAATATATTTTATAATAGATAATATTTTGTATAACATTTTATTATATTTATAATAAAATTATGTATTTAAAAAAAAAATATATATATATATATATATATATCATAAAATATATCTTAATTTAAATTTTATATCTCTTTTATTTCATAATTTAATTATATATATATTAATATTCACTTAATCCCATTTTATATATTTTTAATTTTATCGGATCGAGTTTAAATATAAATAAATAATTCAATATTTTTTTTAATGTAAAGATAAGGCTAAACTCAACCAAACTTTTCTTTTGCTCACTCTTATTGAATAGAGCATAGCTGAGTTCCTTTTGAAGTATCTAATTCTAATTTTTGAGCCACATGAGACATGTGCCTGATATTTAGAAAGCAACCATAAGAGGTGAAAATAATTTAATTTTCTTTTCAAACAAAACACATTAAAAATTCTCAAGGCACGTTTACAAGTTTTCTTCCCAAACAATGTTCTAGTTGCAGAACCCAAACCTTCTATTACTTGGAATACACCTTCAACCAGGGACGGAACCGGAAAACAATATTAGAACACAAAAATTTATCGCATTATAAATAAAACTAATAATGACTAATAAAATGTTAATTTAATAAAAATAATAATAAAAATTATATATTCCATGAAAGTGAATATTAATTTTGATGATAAGGAAATACATCAAAAAAAAAAACAAGATATTATAATTGAACATAATTTAGGATCTCGCTCAATATTAAAAACATTTACTTCTATTTGAATTCTTTTATATCTCAAAGGTTGTTCATTAAGTTTAGATTCTTGTGGTGAAAGTCCAAAGATTGTAGCAAAGGAGTAGGTTGAGATGAAATAATATTATCTTCTTTATTCTATAAAGAGTTCTTTCAGTTGCCATCTTCAATAATTCAAATGTATTTTTTTAAAACAAATAAAAATGAAAAAAATCATATAATTCATATTTGTATGATAAAATTTAAAAGAGTCAATAAATTAAAATTAGAGTAAAAAATTTAAATTAAAACAAGGATATTTTTGTTATATTTTAAAAAATAAAATGTTAATATTTTTTCTGTATTATGTAAAATAATTTATATAAAATTTTAAATTTAAGGATTTTTTTTCTAATCCGTAAAGTAAATATTTTTTAAAAATTTAAAAAATAAAGATTTTTTAAACTAAAAAAAATTGTATTTGTTTCAATTTTTTTAAAGTATCTGTAACAACATGTGCAATTTTTTTTAAAATATATTGCGGGATTGTTCCTTTAATGATAATATTGTGTGATAGTTTTTTTTAATCTATTAATTTATTTTTTATTTACAATATTGCGTAGTAGTTTTTTTTTTTCATATTATAAGAGAAAAACCAAAATAATAAAAAAAGAAAAAACAAACTGAAAAACTAATTATTATATTGCGTGATATGAGTATTTAATTTTTATTTAGTTGAAAATTTATTTAACATATATTATAATATGCTTATTTATTTTAATTATTTTATTTTTGTTTTGATACTTATTTTTATCCATTAATATTGCGTGATAAAATGATAATCGGTATAAAGAGAATAGTGAAATGTGAAGTGCTGCCCCTGTAGAACTCTACCTATTTCCGTCCCTGCCTTCAACACTTCTAAATAACAACAAAATTCAACCTATATATACTTCGAAGTTGTAACCCAATAGCAGATTATTATCTAGACAAAGGGAAACCTTAGAATGCACCGGTGTTTACAACAAAATCTAAAGAAAATGTTCGACCAAATATAATTGGATGATGAAGAATTTGAAATGCAAAATAATTCAACTGTGAAATAACTTGTTTGGATTATTAAACTTGTGTAAGCTAACATTTCCATTGGGGTATTGAGTTCAACCAAATAGAACAAGGAAAATAGTTTTGCTCCATACAAATGATCATGCATAACATACAAGGAGCAATAATTCATTTCATGTTAAGTAGATCAAAAGGACACAAATCACTCAATTTATTGTTCCATTTCTAACTCAACTAAAAGCTGCATAATCCATAATGATACCTATTTAATTTGAGTGATTTATAGTTTTTCTTTCGTACTCACAAATCACAATATGTATGAACCTTTAAGATCATCCACACCTGATGAACTGCAAGAGAACTTCTGAAGCCTTGATCCTCATCCTCCCACTTGGACGTTCATTCTCTACCCTCTGGCTTCTGATATCTGCTGATCCATAACCCTCCAAAGACCCTTCCAACGCTCCAAAACTAGAACTAGAAAACCGGAAAGACCCTTCCTTATTCCTTATTGCATCATTTCCTTCACACTCTTCAACTTTCCTTTCCCTACGCTTCTCCTCAGTCTGAGTCCACGCATTAGTACCTTTCCAAGCAAACTCCTCGCATGTCTTAGCCTTGTAAAGCCTTTCCTTTCCCTACGCTTCTCCTCAGTCTGAGTCCACGCATTAGTACCTTTCCAAGCAAACTCCTCGCATGTCTTAGCCTTGTAAAGCTTGTAATCACTCGAGTTCAATGATTGGCTCCTTCTCCCCTTCATGGTGGCAGGGGACTCCTCACACGTGCTACAATTGTTGGCTTCGGTGGAATCCTTGGAGCCTGATGTTGATATTGTCTCACAGGATCGAAAGCTCAAAGAAGCTGAAGCTTCCATTGTTTGTGTTCCTTTCAGGACATACTCATAGCCACTACTTGGGTAAATGAAATCATTCTCCGACAAATCTTGCCACACAAACCCGTTTTTGTAATTCCTGGAATGAAATGTGGCATCAGCATTAACTGTTTGATGAACATTGTTATTTGCAACAAGTTTGAAGAGCATACCTTTTAGTTGACCAAGAATACATGTTGGCCATTCCTTGTCCTCGTAGAAAACTCAATCTATCTATCACATCTGATCAGAAAGATAAGGCAAACATAGAAAGAAAAAATAAATAGTGAAGATATAGTAATTGGTAAGTTTCTCTATTACCGTGTTGCAGTTTTAGAATTCACCTTTGAGACAAAGTACTCCCTGTGGAGAAGAGATTGAAACCTCCATGAGATGAGGATGCTCAAGCTGGCCATTTCGGGAAAGGTAGTATATTACTGGAACTTTCAGCCCAGTTGTTTGAACCTTTTTTGGTTCAATGCAGATTTTGGAGCCCTCAGAACTTGGTTCTCTTTCTTGCATTTTCTTTGATGAAGTAAAAAATAAAAAAGAATCAAATGAAGGTAAAGTTTCCTAGTGCAGAGTTGTTGTTTGTAATTGAGTGAGATTATTGGGATTTATAAATGAAAGGGGCGAAGGTGTGTGTTGTGTTGTTTGCATTTGGATAATAAGGAGGGGATAGTATATGTAGCAACAAGTGGCATGGCATGCAATTGCATATATTTCACGGCAACGTGTTGTTGAGGTTGTATATAATATTAAAGGGGTGAAGCAGGTGGTACGAGTTGCAAGTTAAGGTTCAATGATGTTTGTCAATCATAGTACTCGCTCACGGACCAAAGTGAACTCAGGACAAAATTCTCATTTTCTTAACATAATAAAGTCAAAAGTAGTCCCGTGAAACCATCGCACTTATTTCAGGGAAAAAAAAATGGACGAGTTTCCCGGCAACCAAGCAGATTGTGCGGAAACTAGCGGGGACTTTACATTGAGAATTGAGGAATGTCCTGCAAAATAAATAAAGAAGAAGAAAGGTCTAACTCAACTGTTTCTTCTCATACAAAAATTAAAACAAATTGAGTCACTAAATGTGAAAAAAATCTTACATATATTACTATGATATTTAGATCTGCTAGGATCGGTGTAATGATAAAGAGCAAAATAATATATACAACATTTTAAATTTAAAACTTAGTATCGTTAACATAATTTTAATGCATAAATTTTTTTTATTACTCCCACCTCAACTAATAAAATAGTTATTTTTAAGTGAAAAATTATAATTACCTTACGAACAAATTTTGTAAAATTAAATTATAATATTATTTTTGTTTAAATAATTTTTTATTATCAAAGACCTCCAATAAAAAAATAAATGGTAATACTTTGCATGCTTGTGGGCATGAAATGAGACTAAATAAACCTTTTACATTTTCCTTCAAGAATAATAAAGTGGGTTAGTAATTATTATCATGAGAATTTTTTATTAAATAAAAATTATAATAAATTATAAAATTTTATGTGCTTTTTCTCTTATTTAATAAATCTCCTCATTAATTTTATAATTTTAATGAATAAAATTTTTAAAAAAAATATATTGGTGTTTTTTTATTTATTATTATCACTCCTCTTGCTATAATTAAAAGTTCGTGTTTTCTTTAATTTTTTTTTTTAATTCTCTTACTTTTCGGTTCTATTGGAACAACTCTATTGAAATCTTTTTAACCCATCCTAATTCCAAATAGGCCCTTTTATCCCTTTTAACTCACCTCACTTCACTTCTACTCTCCCTAAATATATAGACATAGATTATTATTTATTGTATAAAATCGTTAAGGTTACAACTTAGAACCTTACGTACATAATTTCAATTCTCCAATTACGAGTCGATCCTAGTGGTATTAGATATATATTATTTAATGTAAGTTAAGCATATTATATATATATAAAAAAAAATAGCTAACATGATACTCCGTATTATGCAATTTAGGGGTTGAATCGCGAATAAATAGTAAACAAATGAAGAAACAGAGGACAGCCACAGCAACGCATTGCATTGAGCCCTTCAATGCACAGGACAGGTTAGCAAGAACGTCTACGTTCGAATATCACTGCAGACAGAAAAATGCATGGAGGAGAGGAGTGTGTCATTTGATATGTTATTTGTTAATTGTTATGAAGGAAAATATTACCCTAAAATAACAAATGCCATGCAATGTTGAAAAACAACTAGAGAAAGAGAAAGAAGAAACAATGGAATTATAAGAGGCTAATCACACTAAATTTTATGTACAGAACTGAAAAATAGAGTTGTATTAAAATGAGAAAAGTGATATATATCCATACGACTTTGAAAGAATACCAACGGGTATGTTATTTAAAATATTAAGCCACATCATACCACTATCAATGTGCTTCCATTTTCTTTTTTTAATATCTGATTACAGTTAAAGGCTTTTGATAAGTACGAGAAAACCAAGTCTCTCAAACAGTGTAGACCCTGAGTTTTTCATGCCAATCTTAAACACTGTCCACATTAATGCATTTATGAAAGCAATTAGTAATTGAAAAGCAGTACAGCATAGTAGAAAGTTGAAAATTATTAGTATGATAAGTTGTCATCTTAAAGTACACAATCCATGAACACCGAGGCCAGTTCACCATTTTCCAAACAACAGTAAGATAGTGTACAAAATACACTTTCTTACTTCAGTAATATATGGTTATCGAATAACAATGATTTTCTAAGGTTGCTCACACATGCTTTTTCTAAAGTTGTTCACACATGCTCGCAAGCAGCCGTGTTTGTACTGTGTGCAGAAGCCCATGTAAGCAGTTCTAGTGATCCGATTTTATAGTTTATCATATTTTTCTCTGTATTATTATATTTTTTTCTAGTAGATTAGCAACTTAGTCCATCAAAATATTTTTCACATGCAGTTAGTCCTTGAATTTGATCATTAGATGAGTTAGTTCCTGAATTTATTAAGCTAGTATAATGTAGTCCTATTATCGATAAAAATGTGAAGTCTTAAACTACATTTAAACTAAGATGAAATTGCAAGTAGGAAACACTTTTAGGGATTAAGTTGTTAATTAATTTACTCTATTTTTTTTCTTCTCTGTATGCATACATACAATACAACTCTTGGCATTCCAGCGGTAGCAATTGCCTTGGTAAGTTTCTTTTCAGATGGCATGTTGTAATGGAACCAATAACTTGGGGGCAGGCCCCATAATAAAACACCATGTTTAAGTGCCTGATGACAAGTCTGTTTCATATGAGATTGCAGACACAATCAACTATCTTATCACAATCTGCACCTTAGCACAAAAATTATCTGTATACATATAGTAAAAGTTGAGGTTTATAGTCATAGGTTAGCGCCGAGTGTCAATGTACCTTGTTATTCCGTCCCATCCAATGGAGCTATTCTACGTTAGGTGATCTGATATTAAAATAGTAGCACCACTTTGAATTGCCACCTAACTGCTATTGGTTTAAAACCATTATAGTTTGTATTCCTTTTCTACATATATTTAAACACCAATTAGCTTACCAAGGTTATATCAGACATTAAACGTGAATCATTAGATTGATGTGGGTGATTCTTGTAGCTTTGGTTTTTGTTATGTGTCTAGAATTAATCAAACATATAGGCTCAAAGAGACAGTTATATCACGAGGTAATTATGACTGCTCAAACAGAATGTGCAAAGGCTGGTCAAGGATAGGATTTACAGACAAATGGAGTCAAAATGTCAAATCAGTATGAGGAATACAAGTATACAACCAGGATAAGGTGAAACAAAAGGCAGCTTGGCTTCGGATTAATTCGCATCAATTTTTCTATCTATCAGTGAACAAAATCTCAAACTACTAGTAACCTTTGCTTATATCAACGACAGAATTTTCATTTCAAAAGAAAATAAAAGAAATGATAAAAATAACGAGAAAAGAATGAAACTGTCAACACATTCAATTATGAATGCAGCACTATTGTATTTTATAAACTACAATCAAACTGTCTACAAGAAGAAACAAAAAACAGTGACCCTGTTTGAATTTTCCTACATGCTTTAAGTTGCAGTTGCAGCAACTGTTTGTTTCTTTGGGCATTCAGAGAAACCATGTCCTTTCTCACCACACTCATAACACGTCCTCCTCTTCATCTTGCCACTTACGGTGGAACCTGATTTGTCACCATCAACTCCTTTAACAGTACCATCAACTCCATTAACAGTACCATTAATGGTGGACACAGAGCTTGTATTAGTTCCTGGCTTTTTCTTCAAAGGAACTGCACAACTTATCCTGACAGGTCTCCCAAACAAAACATTTTGGTCCAATGTAAGTGCTGTTTTCAGTGACTGACTATCACTGAAGTCCAAGTGGGCATACCCTCGAAATTCTCCTGTCTCCTTGTCCATACCAAATCGTAGGGATGCTATGTCACAATTTTTGAAGAACTTCCTCAGTTCTTCCTCTGTTATATCCCACGACAAATTCCCAACATATATTCTGTTGTACCCCTCCAACATTTCTGGAGCAAAATTTGATGTTTTACTGGCTCGAGTTGCTTTATAAGGTTGAATTCTAAGAAAGAGTCCTCCCCTGTTGTTACATATTAAACACTTCATGAGAAATGTGCAAAAACTGTAAATCATATTTCTAAGAAAGAAAATTGCGAGTGTTACTAACATGTCAGCTCCATCAAGAGCCAATGCTCTTTTGGCTGCTGCTTCAGTCTGCAGGAGGAATGCCACAAAAATGTCAGCAAGCTATGGCCATGCTTATTACCAAAGTGAAATACAAACTTAAGATAAAAAAAACAAATATAGTGATGTTAGGAGAATTATTATATTATATACAGTGTGCTGATAAATCTCAAGGCCTCAACTAAGATTGATAGTTTAAAATTAACAAATCAATCCTGCCATTACATAAAAGGAAGCCCAAAATAGAGGTGAAATTGCAGAACACCAAAAAGGTGAAGTGTGAAGGTAAACAAAGAAAAATGAAAAAAATAAAATATAATAGTGCAATAGTCATCACCTTAAAACTAATAATGGCAATCCCTCTGAACTTGCCAGTTTCAGGAAAAGTCATGCAATCAATTTCAGTTATGGTGCCACAGCTTTCAAAATAACTTCGAATATCATCCTCGGTCGAATAATAGGGAATTCCTCCAACATAAACCTTTGTACTGATAGGAACATCACCATTGTCTTGACTGAATACACATCACAGAACACATAAACGGTTAAAAAAAAAAATGGACACAAAAATCATACACTCATATGAAACTGTGTTTATTCATAACATAATATTATTATTACCTGGCGGTTGCATTGGTGTTGGTTAACTCTGTAGCCTCTGGCAATGGCACTTCCCCTTCACCATTGGAACCGTTTTGTTCCGCCGTTCTGGATTTCTTATTCTTCTTCTTGTTCTTGTTCTTCTGCTTCTGTTTCTTCTTCTTGTTATTGCTCGGTGACTTGTTGGGAACTTCATTTGCCACGTCATCGTCCTCTACCTTCTTCCTCTTTTTCTTTTTGTTGGTTGAACCCTCTTTGTGAGTTTCGTCATTGGGCTCTTGCGGAGGGTTAGGGTTTTGCGAAGATCGAAGCTTTCGGCGTTTCTCTCTCTTGGACAATCTGGGTGCGGGGGTGGCAGCGTCCAGAAGAGTTTTGAGAGAGTTGGAAGATGAAGGGGCTTCGGCGGCGCTAGGGTTGCTTTGGTTTAATTCGGCTCTGAGCTTAAGCTTCAGTTTCTTGTTTGATAGAACCATTTCCACAACCTCTCAAACTCTCAGCACTCACAAGTACTACCACAAAGGGTTTTTACTTTTGGGGAAGACGCAACAAACGACGCCGTAAATTCGGTGGGCATATGAAACAAGGTTTTCGTTCTTTTTGGGCTTCTGAAAGCCCAGGATATATTTGTTTGGGCCTTTCGCAAAACTGTTTGGTACTTGGGCTGCAAACCCACGTGGTTAGTTACTACAACTTGCAAGATAGAAGGATGACAAGGTTTTATTATCAAAATCAAAACCCCACGTGGCTTAAGACAGCAGAAAATAATAGAAACGAAACAAGAGGCTCCAAAACATAAGTGGCATTTATTTCTTCTAACACATAACATGTTTACATAATTATATCATTTTCCTTTCTTCGTTACATACAAAAAAACTCACTGCACAATGTACAAACACTACATCCAACCAATTTCCATCCGATGTCTCTATCTTTGGAGGCTCTCCCTTGACTAATTCAATTAATTCTTTTGCCACTGAGATTTCATCCACTCGTTTTGTAAATCCCATAAACGTTATCCGTTTTACATGCTCCAATTTTCTATTCTTGGTTGATTGCGTTAAACATGAAATGGACCCTGGAGCCGAATAACATGTAGGATCACTCTGCAGTTGCACCCAATCAGTGATAAAAAAATAAAAATAAAAATCAGAAATTGTTTAGAAACTACAACAAAACAAGAACATCAGTTAAATTCAAGTATGAAATCTACCGTCACAAAAAGTTGCTCCAAGGCAGGGCATAATTTCAAAAAGGACACTAAGGTGTCAATACTATTTTCACCCTTATGGTTGTGAATCCACCATAGCTCTCTTATTCTGTAGAATATGAAGTTCACACTTGGAGAAATCGATGGCCATATCAATGCCTGCAAGAACACCCTTATGGAGTTAGCTAATTGTGCATAACAAAAAACGAAAGATCCTAAATTCAAGTCATTACCAAAAAATACGAGTAATTAATATATCCCTACCATTTAATCATGAATGATAAAATTATTAACTTTTGCAATTACTAGAACAAACCTCAAAAGTCCATTCACATAAAGTGAGAGCTTCAGAATTCTTTATTGTCAACAATGTTTCATTGAAATCTTGAGCCTTGAAGTCACCACAGCTTGGTCCATGTCTGAAATCAAGCATGGCATGGCTGAGGTTGAAATGGGATTCTGGCCAAATCCGAGGAAGGGGTCCACGATATGTGAAAGTTTTAAGCTTAGAAGTTCTAAGATGAAGAGACTTCAACTCCATGCAATCTAAGATAGTTAACTTGTGAAGCTTTGATTCAGACTCAACACACAGAGATTGCAATCCCATGCACTCAACAATCACCAACTTCTCAAGATGCTCCAAATTTGAAACGATGGAGGAAGCCACCTCACTTGTAAAATCTCTCACTGATTTCAAATAGAGTGTTTTGACCAAGAAAGTGTGGTGAGTGATGGTGTGGTGTTTGTTGAGCATGAACTGCATTTCATACTTCCTCTCAAGGTGTTGGCTCCCACAAGGGAAATCAAGAAGAAGCTTACCATTTGTCGCAATGGATGCAAAGAGTGCAGTGTCTTGAGCAAAGTGAAATTGAAGCTTGCGGGGATGTTTTAGTGGATCAAGCTCTTCAAAACGAGCCAGAAATTCGGCAACAGCAGCAGCTATGTCTTGTGTGGTTCCTTGTCTAATAAGGACTTGGTTCCATAGGTCTTTCCACCTTGTAGATATGAGGCTAGTTTCTAGTGCATATTCACTTGGCAGAAAAGAAACAATGCAGCTTAGAATTTCATCTGGTAAATTGCTAAACGGATCCTCTACACTTGCCTCCATGGAGTCTCTAATAATGTTTCAATATGAGAAGGGATAGTAGAAAGAGAAAGTTAGGTGGTTTTTTGGGATTAGAACAAAAGACTCAAATTAATTGATGTTGGTGTCACCACTATGATGAATTATAGTATTTACACACAGATTACACCTTCTACTCTAATAAATATCCTACCTCGGTGTAAAGTTACTTTAGTTAAACCAATATTCTAAACTCTCATATTCTCATATTCAATATTTATATTTATATTTAGAAGAAGAAAGTTATTTTAGTTTAACCAATATTCTAAACTCTCATATTCTCATATTCAATATTTATATTTAGAAGAACAACTTTGTCGTGCACGATTATTTTACTTATATGAAGCAAAATTGTCTAATGGAGAATTATGTGCTCCATACTGAAATATATTTATAATTTGTTTGTTTTTATTGATTATTCTTCTTGCTGAAGTCAGTTTTAGGGACCAACTCTGCGTTCAACGTTATTTTCTGTTTCAATATCGTATTTTACAAGACAATTGTTTGAACTAGATTTCTATGTATACAGTAGTGTGGATGTGGGTACTAGACAACCTGAGATAATCCTCATTTTATTTTTCAAAGTCAAAATGATTTTCAAGAGGGAAGGTCAAATAACACAACTAAAACTACGTACATACTAGTAATACGACGTTAATAGAAATAAATGCATCTTGCGGATAAGTGTTGGAAATTATAAATGCCATTTGAAAGGACTTTAATTAATTAAATAAATAATCAAATACATGGTCAAACGAGACCAATTCCGATGAATTTAGGTTGCTTCTAAATACTCTTTTTTGGTTGGTCTTATATATGTAGCGTGTATACTTGACAAAATTGTTATGATTATAATAATCTTTAATAATTTACCCAGAAAATAGACGTTTCAACAGACCGAGTGCTCTTAATATTAACCTAAAATGACTAAATTTTTTGTGCAAAATTTTAGATATATCATGGACCAATCAAATTATATGCTTTCCATAGCATATAGAAAGGTTTTCCTTAAGAAAATTATTATTAAAAAAAATAAAAGAATTCTGATGAATCAGACAAGTTAATTATATGTATTTAACTAAAAATTATATGTGAAATTTAATTTTGTCCACATTATCTTTAATTAAAATAAACTTTATGTACCGGAAAAATATGAGTATAAACTATAAAATAAGGACTCATTCCTACATCTAAAAGTTCCATTCATTCATTTCTTTCACTGCTCAACATGGAGAGCACCAGATTACATCCATAAATAAAAAATCTAGAAGTCACTACTTGAAAGGGGTTCATGACCATCATCACCAATAAAGATATTATCATAGAGAATGGCAGCAGTGGCTGAACCAATGAATGGGCCGAGCCAATAGATCCAGTGATGAGTCCATGACCAGCTAACCATAGCAGGCCCAAAGGACACAGCTGGATTCATGGATGCACCATCAAAAGCCCCACCCACCAAGATGTTGGCACCCACAATGGAACCAATTGCTATTGGAGCAATAACACCCACATTCCCCTTCTTTGGGTCCACTGCTGTGGCATAAACTGTGTACACCAATCCAAAAGTCATCACAATCTCAAAAACTAGTGCATTCCACACTGACACACCAGAGGAAACAGAGAAAGCTGTTATTTCCTGCACAAAAGTAGACTCAAATTCAATCATGGAATGAGTGGAGATCATCACTCTAACCACTGATAAGCGAATGTTTGAATAATTTTTTTAAACATTTTCAAGAAAAAAAGGTATAAGAAAAAATTAAAATAAGATTATATGTAAACTATTCACAATTTAAAAGATGTCTTTTTTTTAATGAACATGATGCATGCAGTACATACAGGAATTAAACATAGGACCACCAGAAATAGGCTTTACAACCACTAAGAGGACTTGATTAAAAAAAATGTTTTTTGGATAAATTAATACAAGAGAACTTTTATAAATTATTTTATGTATAAGTTAATTTTAATTTATAAAAAAAAAATATTTTAATTTTCTTTTTTAGAAGTATCGTGGAAAATTTTATATTAAAGGCACGTGAGAATAGAGATAGTTACCATTCCACCAGTAGCAAAGTTTAGAAGAATGCAAGCAACAACTGAACCAAGTAACTGTGCAATCCAATACAAAATGCTTCTCAAGAGGGTTATGTTTCCTCCTATGAAAGCACCAAATGTGACTGCAGGGTTGACATGACCACCAGAAATGTTTGCTCCCACAGAAACCGCCACAAAAAGCCCAAATGCATGAGACAATGATGCAACTATGAGACCAGAAGGAGTTGCAGGTCCATTGCCGGTAAGTTTGCCTGCCACAATACCCAACATGCTATAACATCTTAAATTTCTCACAATGCTAAACATAATAGAGAAATAATAACAATAAAGTTTAACAGACAAAATCATTCATATCATAATTTTTAATAATTATTATAAAAGGGATCTAACTTACTATTCATAACATGTATTATATAAAGTAGAAATTATAAAAGTTAACAATTTTATTATTGACATGTATTTATAACAAACTTGTAATGTATTATTTATTCATTACAATAAGAATAACAGATCTAAGAGAGGACAAAACACATTACCCTCATGTTAAGTTCTATTATTAATTGTGCTAACTGCATTTTAAACATATATTTTGACAAAAATAAGTCGAAATTCTAAAACACTTTTTTATGAGTAAATGGAACTGACTGTATGCCATGCCAGAGCCTTGGCCTGCAAAAACAAAAATGAGCATAGAGAAGAACTCTGCAAATGCTGCTCTAATTGCAGCAGGATTGCTAGCCTCTCTAGGCGACCCAATGGCAATTCTATACACTGCCATTAGCTAAGGAATCACAACCTTCAGAAACAGAAACTTCTGTGTGTATTCTCTGGTTTGGTTTAAGACTTGAGAGTGTGCATAAAACTGTGACAGATTTGTTTTCTCTTCAAATAACAAACAAAATTAACGGCTACGGAAATGGTCCAATTGTTACGCCGTAAGACTCTGTACAATACAAATCATGTTAGTCCGAAAGGAGGGGATCTTCATGCATGCCTAAGGAGTCACTCATTCGTGACTTTATTTTGTGGCTCTGATTTCATGCAGATGTAACTGTACTCTGTATGCTAAGGTTTGATTAAAATTAGCACAATCAGTAACGTCATAATCTATGCGCATGTATTATTTGATCCCCTTGGTCATGCCGTCGTTCAAATTGACAATCAAACTTGAGAATTAGTGGAGAAAAATTGCACAAATTATAATTTTTTTTATCCTTCAAAGGATTCCAATTCACTAATAGACTAATTTCATTTGTAATATTATGACTATTACTAATCTAATGAGTTTTTGCACATGGCATGAAAATTAAACTTGGATTCCCACTAAATAAATCATAGCCATGACTAGTGAGTACAAAGTATATAATTACCATGTCAACCCATATTATAAATTAAGACTAAATTGTTAATTTAGGGACCATATATTTCTAGTAATTTTATTTGGAAAACTAACCCCACCCAATTTGTTTGTTTTTTTTTTTATAAAAAAGGACTTGGGCCAGAATACTTTGTTCAGAACCATTTCTGGGCCAACCCCACTCCACCTTATTCATTGTGGCATAATTGGCATTATCCAATGACAAAAATTGAAAGGAAAAGAGAAGAACATGTTTCATTGTCATATGACCATACATGCTCCTAGCCACATCAAAAGGTCTAAAATTTATCATCCACTACACCCCATCTCAGCTCTAAATCAGTGTCAAGTATGGTAGTTTCTTCGTGCTCTTTGAGCTGGATTTCACCCTGTTTGTCTCATAAGGTGTGTTCAACATTTTTTCTATTTCATCAAGACAATATTCTTTATACACAACTCATCTACACGCACTCTACTTTGCACTATTTCAGCTAAACTTGCCACATTCAAATTATTTGCCTCGCAATACTGCAACTTCATCTTCCAACACTGTCTTTTGTGCATTGGAGACAACCCCAATTGGAGAAAGTAAGAACCTAAACTGAGTTTCCTTGTGCAAAAGTGCTTCAAAATCTCCAGAATCATAACTCAGAAGTATCTATCTTCAATTCTTTATTAAATCTGATAAGAATTTTCTCTCTGAATCACTGTATCAATGTAAATAGAATAAATTCTACTTACAATTATAGAAACTGCACACAGTCTCTTTGTTTTTTTTAACAATTATAGAAACTTATTTTGTAAGAGTTCACAATGTAATATTTTTCAAATACTTAAGACGTTAATGTAATGTTTATGGGAGTTTTACATACAATTAAGGGAGTCAGTATAGGAATAGAAACAGTAGGGAGTACCTTAAGGATGTCCATATAATTTACTCTTGTAAATAAAAATAAGAATCGAACGATAAACAAAGTTATCTTTGGTAGTACTGGATTTTGAAAGAACTTCTCTCATATCCTTTATGATTTTCATTTTTCAGGCCATTGTCAGAGAAGACCGTTATTGTTGGGTATTGGAGCATTAACTGCAAATTTACAACCAACAAAGCTGCTCTTTGCTCAAGGTATTCATGCTTGTTGATGTGATAACATTTTGTGCTATTGAGCTTCACTTTTCTAAAGGGTATTTGTTCGTGTGTAAAACTTAGATAAGTCATAATCTTCTGAAATTTTTGAATTAAATTACTCGTTGTTGTGTAGAAGTTCCAGACAGATACCGAGCTTTTGTAGACTATGAAGATGGGTATTCTTATGTATATCCCATTGATTGGAAGGTAAGAGATAAGAATCATATTAGTTTCACAGAAATTCTAGTCACAACCAGATAGTTTTCTAGAAGTTTGAATGTATCTCCTCTCTAGGAATTTGATTTCAGGGCTCATGATTCTGCATTCAAAGACAGATATCTACAATTACAGAATGTAAGGGTGAGATTTATACCAACCGAGAAGCAAGACATCCGAGATTTGGGTCCAATGGAAGAGGTGATGCTTCAGAATTGTGTCCTAATATTCTAGCCTCTAGGAGTCTAATTTATACTTAACCAGATTGCATCTTAAACAGGTTATATACTTTTTGGTGAAACATAGATACGCTGCACCAAACCAAAGACCAACAATATATGACATGCAGGAGGTTTCTTCTCGCTTTAGCTCTTCATCAATGTATTTTCTTTAAATAAATTTCTTTTGTCTTGATGGTTCATAGCAAACTAAGAACTATTCTTGAATTCTGAATGCAGCGAACTATAGATGATAAGCATTACTATACATTTGAATATGTACTTACATCACCAAATTACTCTAGTGCCTCCTTTGCAACAATTGCTATAGGAAATGGTAAGTAAAATACCATCTCCAATCTCAATGTGTCACCTTTATAAATTGTCATGGTCTCCCAATGCTACCTAACAACTTGCAATTTTTACAGGAAGATACTACACTTTAATTGTGGGAGCCAATGAAAGGCGATGGAAAAGGGTACGAAATCAGCTTAAAGTGGTAGCAGACTCCTTTAGGCTTCTTGATATCTGAAATTTCACAGGACAGTTTAAGAGTATGCTTGTGTTTGTGTGTGTGAGATAGCGTCAATAAAATAGATATATGTTTGCATGATTGCGTGTATATGAGATATCATCAATTAAATGATAAATGTTTAGAGTGAATAGTCTCTCCCGTGTTTAAATATAGTTCTCTTATACAAATAAATTAATCAAATCAGATAAATAAATATGTTTCAACATGGCGTCCTTTGCTTCTTAAAATTGTCATAATTAAGGCTTCTACAAAAGAATGATATGGTTGACAGCTTTGGCAATCTCTATGGAGGTGTTGAAAACTTTGCACGAGTCTTACATGCAACTCAAGGATCAAGTTGCTGTGGTTATAATGTGACATGGTGCAAGAATACTATGAGCCAGTGTTGCATGTTTCACTTGTTTTCTTTGCCAACTGCGAATTGGTAACTGATACAAATTTGGAAATTATTGGAAGACGTGAATTAAAGGAAAGTTTGTTGGCTTTTAACAACTATTAACATCTCCATAAATTAAAATAAAAGCAATATTAGTGAGCTGGCTACGTGTATTGTGTATAGTTTGGAGAAATAACTTTCTTATAAAAAAATTGGACCCCAAGACCACATTCTAAGAAACTCATACACAAACTTGTTTTTTTTTTAATGAATTTAAACGACAACTTTTAATATAATCATATTTAAAAAGAAGGATCAACATCTCATATATATTCACATTTTTTTTTTCATTCTTCCCTCTTAAACCTATGGCCTATACTCGAATTCAACCCCACTTTAATTATGTGGACTGGTTTAGTATGAAAGCACCACCCTATTGAAAAATAATATAAAAAAAAGTAATACACTGTCCAGCAACTTTACAAATAATTTAGGCTAACTTAAATCACTTGGTAACTATTACCATATGATTTTCTATTTTCTTTGCAAAACTGACCGGCCCAAATGCTTTTTTAGAAATGATTTGGGTTAGAATACCCTGTTGAGAACCATTTATGGGCTAGCCCAACTTCACCTCAACATCCAATGAATAATTATCTCATTATGGCATAGTGGCGTTATCCAATGACAAATATCAAAAGAAAAACATGTTTCATTGTCATGTGACCACATACTCTAGCCACATCAAAAGGTCTAAATTCTATCATCTACTACACCCCATCTCAACTCTAAACCAGTGTCAAGTATGGTAATTTCTTCGTGCTCTTTGAGCTGGATTTCACCCTGCTTGTCCCATAAGGTGTGTTCAGCATTTTTTCTATTTCATTAAGAAAATGTTCTTTATACACAGCTAATCTAAACGTGCTCTACTTTGCACAATTTCAGCTGAACTTGCCACATTCTATTTATTTGCCACGTAATACTGCAACTTCATCTTCCAACACTGTCTTTTGTGCATTGGAGACAACCCCAAGTAGAGAAAGTAAGAACCTACACCGAGTTTCCTTGTGCAGAAGTGCTTGAAAATAAGAACCATAATCAGTATTTCAAATTACTACGGCTTTTGACTTTACAATGAGTATTTCAATCTCTGTGGTAGTCAAGAATCATGACTTATAAATATCTATCTTCAATTCTTCATTAAATCTTGATAAGAATTTTCTCTCTGAATTCACTGAAACTACTTGCATTTATAAATGGACAAAATTTGTATGCAGCTTTTTTCCTTTTGGTGATAATTTCTTATCAAAATTGGAATTTTATCTTAGCAAATGGCGTAATCAAAGTTTGCTTAAATGTTAACATAAGTTACCCCAGGTTCCGATTGAAGAAGAACACTAAAATCACATAAGAAATTGTGTCTAAGTTTTGTTCGGAAAGACATTTGAATCATTTTCTAGTTTTCTTTTCTTTTTTGTTGTTGAAAAATGATAATTGTAGTTAATGATAATTGGATGATAATTGGTCCGAAGCTTTGCTGTTGTCTTTCTAGTACTAGATTTTCTCTGTAATTTACATATTAAAAATTGACTTAAATATATTTTTAGTCCCTCAAATTTAAAATAAATTTGTTTTTGGTCCCTCAAATTTAAAATTGTTGTTTTTAGTCCCTGTAATTTCAAAAAATCTTATTTTATTCCTTATATTCAAATTTTGTTAAGAAATTTATCAAGCATTATTGCATAAAATTTACTTATCGGTATCCCTATTAGTAAAAATATCACATTAAATCTAGTTAATATTGCATAACTGTCTTAATTAGTCACTTTCAAATATGTTATTGGTAATTTAAAGAATTAAAACAAGATTTTTGAAAATTACAGGACTAAAAATAACAGTTTTAAATTTGAGGGACCAAAACCAAATTTACCTTAAATTTGAGGGACTAAAAACATATTTAAGCCTCGAAAATTTTAAACCTTTGAAACAATTTCTCTTATCTCCTTTAAGATTTTCAGGCCACTGCCAGAGAAGACCGCTATTGTTGGGCATTGGAGCATTAAGTACAAATTTACAACCAACAAATTTGCTCTTTGCTCAAGGTATTCATACCTGCTGAATCGTGTTATTGAGCTTTACTTCATTATAAGGATATCTTTGTTCATATATAAAACTGAGACTAGTCATATCATAATCTTCTGAAATTTTGAAATTCCAATACTTTGTTGTGTAGAAATTTCAGACAGATACGGATCTTTTGTGGACTATGAAGATGGGTATTCTTACGTATATCCCATTGATTGGAAGGTAAGAAATAAGAATCTTATGAATCTCAAAGAATTTCTAGTTACAACCACATAATTTCCTTGAAGTTTGAATGTATCTCCTCCCTAGGAATTTGATTTCAGGGCTCGTGATTCATCATTTGAAGACAGATATCTACAGTTACAAAATGTAAGGGTGAAATTCATACCGACTGAGAAGAAAGACATCCGAGATTTGGGTCCAATGGAAGAGGTGATGCTGCAAAATTGTGTCCGAATGTTCTAGAGTCTAATTTATACTTAACCAGTTTATATCTTAAGCAGGTTATATACAGTTTGGTGAAACATATATACGCTGCACCAAACCAAAGATCAACAATATATGACATGCAGGAGGTTTCTTCTCACTTTATTTCTTCCTTAATGTTTTTCTTTTTAGATAAATTTCTTAGGTCTAGATGCTTTGTAGCTAACTAAGAACTATTTGTGAATTCTGTATGCAGCGAACCATAGATGAAAAACATTACTATACATTTGAATATGTACTTGCATCACCAAATTACTCTGGTGCATCCTTTGCAACAATTGCTATAGGAAATGGCGAGTAACATGCCATCTCCAATCTCAATGTGTCACCTTCATAAATGTATTGTTCTGTGATGATCCCAATGCAACCTAACAACGTACACTATTTACAGGAAGGTACTACACGTTAATTGTGGGAGCCAATGAAAGGAGATGGAAAAGAGTACGAGATCAGCATAAAGTGGTAGCCGACTCCTTTAGGCTTCTTGACATATGAAATGTCACAGGACAATGCAAGACATGTTTTAATATGCCTAAAGATCAAGTTTGAAATATATAAATATATCAAGTGCAAAATAATTTTTTACAAGTGAATGATATCTTCTACCACTCTAATAGCAATTTTCGTTAGCTGTGCCTGTCTCATCCATACATTGCATTGCATGCAATTGCAAAGGTCGTATATAGCATTAATAGTTAATACCAATGATACGCTGCGTAGGACAAGTAAAACGTTTCCCTGATTCTGGAATTCGCGGTTTGGCATTTTGTAGAATGATGGGTGTGCCATATATATCCTTGGACCATTTTAGACTAGTTTTACAGGTTTTGATAGGAACAAAGCAGCCAAACGATTTGTGGCCATATGTATATTTGTTTCATTTTGATGCATTTGGTTGAAGTTTGCACTTTTACAGATATCTCTTATATTTTCTTTAAGATAAAGTTAAGTCCTCGTTAGACAATTTTCTTTGTTATCCGGGAATCTGAGGGGACTGTTCCAATTTCAGGAATTTTTCCCTTGTGGGACGGGGGCGAAAAATCATAAACAAGAAAAAGAAATCATATCATTGTCAGGGAAACTAACCACATTATATATTTATAAAAAGTAAAAAGGAACAATAACACAATGATAGAAGAATCACGATACTGCCCAAGAAATGTGGAACCGAAGATTGGACGTGAAGCATGTAATTAAAAGCTGTGTAAATTTCACATTTCTGGACGGAATAATGTAGTGTAATTCTCCACACTCACTTGTCTGGTTATAACTTGATAGAAGTAGAAAAGTTCAAAACAAAATAGCAAATTAATTAAAAAAAACTATAAGAATGTTTCAAACTACTTGACAAAATACACGTGGAAATTTACTGAGGACAAAAAACCTAGAGAACTCGTGTAATTCAAGCACTAAAAGGAATTGCTTCTAAACTATCGCTATGTATATACAGAGGTTTTACAATACAACACCTTGAGACTGCATTTTCTACAATTTTCACAAATGAAGAAAAAGAACTACAGTAGTGAACAGGTTCATCATCCACGCTTGAGAGACAGGAAGGAAGAGTGAAAAGGAAGTCCATAAGAGTAACTCAGCTGAATTAGTGTTGATTCCGCCGCCTTCATCTCTTTAGTAAAACAAATCAATATACTGTGGAGACAACACCGTCAGTGTAGACTCTAAACTGCTTGCCTCCAAAAGAATATGCATCCACAGCTTCAATACTTCAAACCAACCAAGTTCCTATCTTTAAATTCTACACTATCCCTGCTACAGTACACTCTTCCCTATGCCTACCAATACTCCCTTTCTTGCTACATCCAAGCCTCCACCTGACATTGGAACATTCCATCAGGTGCAGCAAATAGCAATCATCAGTCATTCAACTCGAGTAGTATAAGAAACAATTCTTATGAATCAACATTAGTTGCAACTACTCACATAACATTGATACTCCCATTCTACACAAGCCGATGCTGACGCAAAGCCTTACCAAAATGAGGTTGCATCAATCGGACATATAGACCATTTTTTGCCACCAATGTATCATGGGTCCCCTCCTCCACTATCCGTCCTCCATTAAGAACTACTATGTTGTCCACATGCCTCATCATTGCAGCTCTGTGTGCTATTAAAATAGTGGTCCTGTTTCCCATTATTAGGGTGTCTAGAGCCTCTTGCACCACTCGGCTTGACTCAGATTCAATTGATGAACTAGCTTCATCCAACAACAAAATAGGAGCATTTTTAAGCACTACCCTTGCGATTGCAATTCTCTGTTTTTGTCCTGGAGTTAAGTCAACACCTCTCATCCCCACATGAGTGTCATAACCATGAGGCAAGCTACTAATGAAATGATGAGCATTTGCTATTCTTGCAGCCTCTTTCATTTCAGCTTCACTGGCGTTATGCCTGGCATATATGATGTTTTCCCTTATGGTCGTTGAGAAGATAATTGGTTCCTGCTG